GGAGGCCCCTGACTAGGGAAGACACTTTCCTGGAGGACAGCAGAGCGGGCAGAAACCGAGCCCCAGGGATTGCACAGGACTCCGACCTCCGAAGCTCTCCTGACTGCTCACTGCTGTAGCTGGTGGTGGTGGCCAGGGTGTCAGGGTGCACCCTGAACTCCATCAAGTGGGTGACTGTGCCCTTTCCCACAGGACCATGGCCGCTTTGTCAACTGTGTGCGGTTCTCCCCCGATGGGAACAGATTTGCCACAGCCAGTGCTGATGGCCAGGTAGGGTGATGGGGGCAGGACTGGTGGGTGGGCGGGCGGGCTGGCTTTCAGGAGCCCTTGTTCCTCACCGCCTCCCAGGCGTGTCACTCACAGGCCCAGCAGACATGGGCTTTCCTTTTAAAGAGCACGGGAGCTTGGTCTTTAGAACTGTGGTTGCGTGTGTGGTGTGCCAACCGGGGGCATCCACACTCCCAGACACGTGATGCCCATGCGGTTTTATTTCCTGGAAGATCTTTATCTACGATGGGAAGACAGGAGAGAAAGTGTGTTCTCTGGGAGGAAGCAAGGCCCACGACGGAGGGATTTATGCTGTGAGTATGAATTTCTGTGTTTGGTGATGTGCTGGTTGTAATCTGTGTGTGTGCATGTAGCTGTCGATATTAACATTGGACCAGAACTTAAAATGAGGATTGAGTGGGGCACTGTACAGAGCTGCAGGGTCCCCAAGGGGGCTGGGCACATCCCTGGCGTCCTTGGGCTTCATTTTTCTCTGCTTCAGACAGACTGCTTTCTGGTCTATTCCTCTGAAACCCTCTGACACAACACCTGTCTGGTTTGCACAGATTAGTTGGAGTCCTGATAGCACCCATTTACTGTCTGCTTCTGGAGACAAATCCTCGAAGATTTGGGACGTCAGTGCAAACTCAGTGGTCAGCACATTTCCCATGGGCTCCACTGTTCTGGACCAGCAGCTGGGCTGCCTGTGGCAGAAGGACCACCTCCTGAGCATCTCCCTGTCGGGCTACATTAACTACCTGGACAAGAACAACCCCAGCAAGCCCCTGCGGGTCATCAAGGTGACCTGGCCCACCTGGGAGGGGTAGCCTGGGGGAAGAGGGTACCTACAAGAGGTGCCTCCCTGGCCCGCAGGGTGAGGGTGATGAGAGGGAAGCCGTGTGCAGCCTGGCAGCAAGAAGGGCCTGCCTGGGGAGTTGGGGGCTTCTCGAGACAGACAGGGCTCCACTGGGCCCCTGTGTGGGATGCTTAGAAATTGTGCACCAGAGATTCGGTCCTGGCTGCTGACAGTGGGGCTGTGTGTGGCCCCAGGTCGATCGTCGTGTGTATCTCAGACTGGCTGTGCATGTCTGCTCTTGCTCACGTGTCTGCTGGCAGCTGTAGGCTAGTGTTGGCCTGCCTAGGTCAGCGCAGGGAATTTTGAGCTCCTGTGTTTGTTAGGAGAAAGAGCTACAGCAGTCAGTATGAGTCACACCTGTGTGGGTTATGCAAGGTGGCTGGGGCTGACCTCAGGCTACAGAGGCTGCTGAGCCACCAGCATGAGCCCAGGAGAAAGTGGTTCCCAGCCCTGGCTACACCTGAGCCTCACCTGGGTGCTTCCAGAAAGGGCTTCCCGCTGATCAGGAGGGGTCAGTCAAGGGGCTCCAGAGATGAACTCAAGGAGCATGCCGGTCTCCCAGGAGCACCTGCATAATGCCCCAGCCCCACCAGGGACACCTGTGACTTGTTCACGGCCTGAGTCTCACGGTGTCACAGGCACACAAGTCCTCTGTTCTCTAGTCCAGGAAGCACGTCCAGTAGTGGCAGGGCTAGGGGGTCTCGGGAATGCCCCTTACTGAGGGGAGGGTGCCTTGGCTCTGTGTCCACTCCCACTGAGGACTGTCCATTCCCCCGAGGGGAAGTGCGTGTTCATGGCTACACGTGGAATGCTAAAGAATGCTGGGGAGTTCCTGGGAGCACGTGAATTGGCCAGCTGGCAGCTGGGTTGCTGATAAAGAATGGGGGCACCAGCTGGGGGCCAGGGAAAGTGTATAACCAGACCACTCGGCAGGGCTTTCCATCCAGCAGTCAGCAGAGGTTGAAGGTCCCTCTGGACCCATGTCTGATTGTAGGCTTACTGGGCACACACGATCCCCGCTCTCCACGGTCAGGGAGGTCAGAGCAGGGGCCAGAGCCCGGAGACAGCTTGGGTGGGAAGAGGCCCTGTGCCTGGGCGTTAGGGGCTTGGGTGGGGCTGTGGCTCAGGTCCTGTCCGCACCGAGACCAGACGCCGGGGAGGGAGGGCACATGTGGCTGTCGGGAAAGGCTGACCGCAGCTCACCTTGCCCCTTGTTTCCTCACAGGGTCACAGTAAATCGATCCAGTGTCTGGCTGTGCACAGAAACGGTGGCAAGTCCTACATCTACTCTGGGAGCCATGATGGCCACATTAATATCCTTTGAGTCAGGGTGTTGGCAGGAGAGGGGAACTTTTATGGTGCCACAGTGCCAGGGTCCAGGCCTGCCAGGTGGCACAATCCTCAGCTCTGTGCTCTGGGTGGCACTAGGCTCCAAAGGCGTCCATCACACATGGGCCCGAGAAGCCGCAGCCTTGACCCTGTTAGGCACTTTCCCTGTGTGGCTCATCCTCTCTCAACCTGAGCTTCTGTCCTCCCTGTAAATGACAGTGCTTGTCCCTGTCATAAGCCGTGGAACGGTGGAGACAGAAGGGCTTGAACACACATGGGCAGAGTCCTGGGAAACTGAAACTCAGGTATCTGCCCCATACAGCGCCCGTCAGCCCAAGGTTGGGCCTGATCTCCAGGGAGGTCCCCGTGGCCCTCACACACCTGCACCCGGGACTTGTGTGACAGGCCTCTGTGGTGCTTTCCCCGGGCCAGCAGCCTGTGCACCCCCCAAGTAGGCAGCTGCTGTGTGTTTTGTTCTGTCTGCCCACAAGACCCAGGGGAGATTGGTGTCCCCAGTCCAGAGAGCCAGCGGACAAGCCACCCTCCTCGCTGTGAGGCGTAAGGGGAGGCGGCACAGCAGGTGCAGAGGTGGCCCAGGGACCGTCTCCTGCCACACCAGTGGGCAGCTGCTTCCTTCCTCGCACCACCTTAGCCCCGATCCAGAGCTGGTGCACCCGTCCCGGGAGTTGAGTCCTGCCGTGTCCAGTGCTGAGTTTTCCACCCCAAGAAATCCTTGGCTGTGAAGTGCACATCTAGCTTCCCAGGGAGACAGTGGTCTTCATTTGACAGAGGATTCTCACATGTTAATATGAAAAAACCTATTACAGAGGCCACACCCTGTACAAGGTACCTTTGGCTTAGTCTGCACTGTGGCCCCTGGAAAGTGGGTCCCCCAGGTAGCCATCAGCTGAGCAGCAGGGCACAACCAGCCTCTGACAGGTGGTCAGGTGGCTGTAGGCTTGACTGTCACACAGAAGGCAAAATGAAACATTAGTCTCAGGAAAGGTCCCAGCGCCAGCAGCTTCCAGTCCACTGCCTGGGGTGTCATGCTGTCCTGGTCGCTGTAGGAGCCCTCTTCTGAGGGCTGGAAATAAAATAGTGGGTTACCCTATAGGTTGAGCATCCCTCGTCCCAAATGCTTGGGGTCACAAGTTCTTGGGGTTGGATTTTTTTTGTTTTGTTTTCTAGATTTTGAAATATTTTTGTGTTCATAAAAATGCCTATCCTGGGAGGAGACCCAAGTCTTAAGCACAGAACACACCTGTGTCCCATACACACCTTGCACCTGTGCCCAGGAGTGATTTTGGAGCATTTCTGACGGTGCTCATCTGCATTAAATGCCGTGGGTCAGGGGATCCTGGGCCCCGATGCCTTACATGGCTGTGTCACAGGGAGGCCGACAGGCAGGCCGTCTTGCTTCGTCTGCTCTTGAGATCTGGGCATGGACATCCACAAGGAGCCTCTCACCTCTCCATCCTGTGCTGTGGTTCTGGGCCACCTGTGGCCCCACCGAGGCAGAGGGCACACTTCTCCTTAACCGCGCCTACATTACTGGGATTCGGAGACAGGTGAGAATGACTCCTTCTCTGGGAAAGGCCACACGAATCAGGTGTCCAGGATGACGGTGGATGAGTCGGCCCAGCTGGTCAGCTGCAGCATGGACGACACCGTGCGGTACACCAGCCTCACGCTGCGGGACTACAGGTGAGCCGCCCGTGTGCAGCTCCTGTGTTCTCGCTGTCACGGGGCCCTGAGCGGAGAACGAGCCGCAAGCCAGGGACTGGGTGTGGCTCTGCCCAAGAGCAGGCAGCGGAATCCACCCCAGTCTGCAGGAGCCCAGCAGGTCTCCCTTTGTCCCTCCGTCCTTGTCACTGAAGGTGAGGAGCCAGTAAGGGGAGGTCAGGCAAGGCCCTGGTGTGGGCAGCACCCTGTACAGGGAGCACCCTGCTGCTTGGGAGAGGCAGACCCCAGGTACCTGGTTTCAAGACACTGCTTAGTAGGTTTGGCTCTGGTATCTGAGTGACAGCCATGGGAGCTGGAGCTGGGAGAGCGGCTGACCGTGCGTGGCCGGGAATTCTGCATCAGGCAGGGCCAAGCCTGCCCAGCCCCTGGCTGCACTCCTGTGTAGACCCTGCCGTGCCACCTGGGACCTGTCTTGGTTGGGGGAATGTGGGTGCCCCTGTGTGGCACCCAACTCACAGCCAATACACACGTGGTGCTCGCTGCACGCACCTCCCATGCCGGGCTGACACAGCCCCTGCTCCAGTCCAGCCTCCCAGGAGGACCCCGGATGTCTCTGCGTCTCTACTGCCTGTAGTGGCTCTCTTTTTCTTGGTGGTACTGAGAAGCCCAGGGCTTTTCACACTGAGAGCTACATCCCCAGTCTCTTCCTCACAGTTGACTTTGACACAGGATCCAAGTTGCTCGGGCTGGACTCAAACTTGTAACCCTCCTCTATGAGCCTCCCAGAGTGACGGCATTACAGTTGTGCACTGCCACGCCCAGCTAATGATCCTGCCTTACGACACCCGACAAGTCTTGTCGGCAGGCAGGGGCCATACAGGGAGCACTAGAGAGCCCGTGTCTGGCCCAACTGCGTGCAAGTTTTCTGAATTTACAGTATTTAAGAAGTTAGTGTGTATGTGTGCACGTGCAGTTGTGTGCCTGGACTCTAGGGTGAGTTTTGATAGAATTAGCCAAGGTTAAAAGACGTGATTTTCCCACATTAGAAGGAATGGATTCCTGACAGTTGCCCACTGGGGAGACGGGTTATGACCCAGGATGTGAGGACAGGAGCTGTGCTCTGGGGAGTGACGGCATGGCAGGCACCTCCCAGGGGCCCATAGCAGTGTCGCCTTTGCCCCCTCTGCCACCTCCTCTCCTGCAGTCCCCCACCGTGATTAACGACCTCTGCCCCAGAGGAGCAGGCCAGCTGGTACCACTCTTCTATGTGGCAGACACCTCTGCCGCGTAGAAGGCTGCGATTCCTTCTGCCCACTAAGTAGCAGTAGTTTTGTAGTAAGTGTTTTAGACACCCACATGGAGCCCCTGCAGTGTGGAAATTATGTGCTTTCTCTAACAGCGGACAAGGTATTGTGAAGCTGGATGTTCAACCAAAGTGCGTGGCCGTCGGCCCCGGGGGCTATGCCGTGGTCGTGTGCATCGGGCAGGTAGGAAGGGCTGGAAGGGGAGGTGGGAAGGGTCCGTACTCTGGGCAGTGTGAGCCTGGTGTTGCGGGTGCACCTGTGCCCTTCCTGACCGAAGCAGTGGCCGGCGCTGGTGCTGAGCACTGTGGGGGCTGTGGAAGGCATCCCATCCTGGTGGCCATCCTCCCACAGCTCCGCAAGCCAGGCAGGGCCTAGCCCTGTTGACAGGTGAGAAAGCACAGGAGGTTCGGTTGCTGCCCGTGGTCGGACAGCTAGGATCTGTCACTATCGCCAGACCGCACTGGGCACATTGGAGCTGTGTGACCTCACATCCTACCCACCGTCTGTGAACCCCAGAATTCTCCCTAACAGGCTCACAGGCGTGGGGATGGCACTCTTGTCAGGCTCCTTGCACATCTTGGGAGTGAGGAGGCTGAGGTATAGAACTGTCGCGAGACACCAGGCCCGAGTGGGTTCTTGCTCCCACGCTAGTGTCACCTGCACACTTTTCCTTTTGGAGTTTCTGGAACAAAATGCCCTTTCCCGGAATCCACGCCTGACCCGCTTTGGACAGAACTGTGCTCCGAAGCACACGTCATCTCTCGGGTGCGGGTATCCCCTGTGTAGACAGGAAGGGGAGGCACAAGTGACGAACTCGAGGAAGAAAGCAGCCCGCCGCTCCCTCAGTTGTTCACCACTGCTTGAGGGAGAGCAGATTTCTGTGTCCTGGATACTGAGCTTCCTGCCGAGCCCTTGCAGCAGACGGCAGGACGAGGACGGCCAGTGCAGAGCAGCCAGCTGGGGACAGCTCGTCCGCACTGCAGGGCCTTCCCGCCTGGGTGGCAGGACGCCTGGCCCGGGGAGGCTGGCGGTAGAGGACTCTGCGAGGGGTGCGCTTGGTGTCCCAGCCGGCACGAGCCTTTCCCCGATCTGCCTGACTTGCTCAGTTCCACAGAGGCCCGTGCAGTCTGTACAGGTCATGGAACAGGAGCTCTGCAGGGGGCCTGAGGCTTAAGTCAGGGTACAGACAGGTTCATGTCACACCTCAGCCACCTTCGATGTTTATGCCCTGACAATGGGGTGCCTCCCTTACCCTGTACCCCACAACACACTGACACAGAATCCCAGGGAGGGCTGCACTGAGAGGCAGCTGATGGCTTGGGCAGGAGCGGCTGTGGACAGAGCCAAAGCTGGCATAGATCCAGGGCACCCTGTCTGGGAACCAGCCAGCTAGACCCGCCAGCCGAGAGAGGAGTCCCTGTGTGAGGAGACCCTCTGCCAAGTGCACTGTGGGCAGGGGCAGGGATCTGGGCTGGGCAGCTGGCTCTCCTGTAGCGCCCTGGGGCTCTGGCGTGTGAACTAAGCCCTCCACACCCATTGTCTCCCTGTGACGTGAGAGCTGACCGCTGCTACCCAGGGCTGCGGTGCTCCCGGCAAACCGGCACGAACTCCTGGAGGCCACAAGCTGTTTATTTTGCTTCCTGTTGCTGATAACTGTGTTCACCCAGGCTGTCAAACTCCATCTTCAGGAGGCCAGGGCCCTCTTGGATTCTCATCCTTGGGAAACGGGGAGACCCCTTTCAAGCTCCCCCCATAGCCAGCAGGTAGCTGAAGTAGGGTCAGGCCACCGCCCACCACCGAAGCCCCGAGGGTTAACACGCTTGTGGGAACAGCAGCTCGGCGTGGACCCCACGCCAGCACACAGGGCCCTCTGCAGACAGAGTCTGGTGCAGTTTGGGTGGTGGGGAGCAGCTTGGGCCTGCAGGGCCCCTGCTGTGGCACCCTGGGACTCAGCTAGGCTGCACAGGACACTGGTGCTTTCCTGTGACCAAGGGCCGTGTCTCACCCCTGTGCTGCTGGCCTGACCTTCGGGGACAGTGTACAGCACAGTTCACTTGCTGTGTGCACTGGCTCGAGATCAGACCCCAGGCCTCCAGAGTTGGTGCCTGTGGTTGGTGAGTGTAGCAGTGGTGACCAGTCTCAGCCCACCTTGAGACCCGTGCTGTCCGCAGCTCTCCCCCACCTGACAAGCGAGGAAGTGGCTGAGACACGTGTCCCGAGGGCCTGCAGGCTCTGACCTTGCCTGCATCCTGCAGGTCGTCCTGCTGAAGGACCAGAAGAAGTGCTTCAGCATCGACAACCCTGGCTACGAGCCCGAAGTGGTGGCGGTGCACCCCGGTGGGGACACGGTGGCTGTCGGGGGCACGGTAAGGCATTTTCCTTCCTCTGCGCCCACTGGCTTTCGGGGACCCTGTAAGCTGTGTGCGTCATGGGAGGAAGCAGCAGCCCCAGGGTGTGGTAGCCTGTTCTGGAGCCTGGCACCCCCACCATCTGGTGCAAGAGCCACCCCGCTGGCCTGGCGGGTGGACAGGATTGCCAGGCCCTGGCTTTCATGGCCTCGACGGGAGAGTCCAGAGCTAGAATGCAGACCCTGAGCCCCCACGCCCACCTGCGGAGGCCCTGGGGTCCAAGGGCTGCTCTTTGCAGAGAGCTCTGCCCACTACCTGCCATGCAGTCCCTGCAGCTGCTTGTTCATCCTGAGTGAGGGTGTGGGCCCAGGACCCAGGGCCAGCCTGAGGGCTGGGAAGCCACTGTCCCTAGGTGTGGCTGGCCTGTTTGTGCAGCAGCTTCTGCAGTCCTTACCTGTGTCTCACTGAGTCTAGCTGCACTGGAACCGTTTCCCATCGTGCTGTACACACAGGTGCATTTGCCTGGTGAGATTGATGCTCCCGCAGGCAGATGTCCTGTAGCTCATTTGTCAAATGCACGTACTCAGTGGTGGTTCCCTGCGTGCTCTAGAGGGACCTGGGGGTTGGGGTCATACTGGCTCTTCATTTGAGGCTTTCCCTGTGGGCAGTGTCTCCTCCCCACAGATGCTGGCTTCTATTACAGAAGGGTCAGGAAGGGCTCCGAGGCCATATTGGGTGGGGAGACCAAACAGGGTAGGGAGTGCTGGGGTCCTGGAGTGGGGCCCAGCAAACACCCAGGCCAGCGTTGAGGCGAATGAGTACGGCCCTGGGATCTGGAATAGCCCTGGAGTGGGTGGGGGTGCTCGGTGCAACAAGATGAAGCCTGGCAGGGGACAGGCAGGGCGCACTCGCCGTGGAGCTGGGAGTGCAGGGGCCCATAGGTGTGGCCCCCAGGTTGGGCTGGGTGCTGACCACCTGCTTACAGTGCTGACTCCACTGCTCCCAGCCCACACAGTCAGTGGGGAGGCCAGGAGTGCTGGTGAACTTCACGTCCATTGATGCCCTGACCTTTGCCTCCAAACGAGAGGGCTGTCCATGTTTCGGGTTAACTCCTTCCCCCGTCCTCACCTGCAGGATGGCAATGTCCGCATCTACTCCATCCTGGGTACCACACTCAAGGACGAGGGCAAGCTGCTGGAGGCCAAGGGCCCTGTGACGGACGTGGCCTACTCCCATGACGGCGCCTTCCTTGCCGTGTGTGACGCCAGCAAGGTGGTCACGGTGTTTAGCGTTGCTGATGACTACGCAGTGAGTGCCTCAGTTTCCTTGTCTGCACCGGTAGCAGGCTCCCTGTGGGGGGTGACGAGCCATTGAGCTCAGGGTCACCGGGCATGGATGAAGCACCGAGATATCCGGTGTCCCACATCCTTACGAAGAGGGGTGGTGAGCTGACAGGTAACCTACGTCTGAGTCCCATCTCCTGCCCATTTCCAACCCTAACTAGGAGAACAATGTCTTTTACGGACACCATGCAAAGATCGTGTGCCTGGCCTGGTCCCCAGACAATGAACACTTCGCCTCTGGCGGCATGGACATGATGGTATACGTCTGGACGCTGAGCGACCCGGAGACCCGAGTCAAGATCCAAGGTGACTCCCAGCCCATGCCTCAGTGGCAAGGGACCCCGAGCCAGGCTGCACAGATGCCCCCGAGGCCATATCCGGACCGCAGTCCCCCAGCCAGTGTTGCTGGGGAGGTGACCCATAGAAATGGGGCCCTCATTCTTCTTGCTGGACAGCGCCCTGCTGCCCCGGCTCAGCCTTGACCAGGTTCTTCACTCCCTGTGACAGCGGTGTCCACCAGATGGCCAGCAGGAGCCATGTGACAGTAGCACATTTTAAAAATCCGGTTCATTGCTTTTGAATGGTACATTTGACTTCACCCAGCATCTCGTCAGTACCCATGCTGGGGGCTCATTTCCAGGGCTCTGCAGTCGTGTGTGTGGGGTGGCACCTGTCACCTGTGCCCACACCTCCCTGCTTCTCCTGCCAGGTCCCCCTTGCAGTCTCGTCGCATGCTCTGCACACAGGAGGCAGCCTTTCCTGCTAATGTGACCAGATCTTTTCCTGTGTGGAAGAGATTGAGCGGCCACTCCAGAGTGCAGTCAGGTGTGCTGCTGGCCAGTGGAGGTAGGGTGGCCTGAGCAGGTTCCCAGGGGCCACACGGGTCTGTACAGAGATCCAGTCCTGCAGAGAATTGAGTTCTGGGTGGAACAGATCCAGGAAGTAACAAGTAGTAGCGAGTGGTACGGAGAGTGGGGCCTGGGGCCTGCAACTGTGCTGAGGGCAGAATCTGCTGGACACACACTAGCCCTGGGCTGGCTTTCATGCCCATGGATGAGCCCCACACCCAGAAGTCAGCATGGTGATGAGGTGCAACTCTGAGGCCTGACCTTTGCATCCGTGAGCTTAGTGGTTTAGGAGTCCCAGCCTCTGGCGCCCACATGCCCCCTGCTGGCTGAGGCTGCCCTTCCTGGACCAGGGGCCCCCTGTTCCTCGGCTTCATAGGAGGGGCTGGCAAAGAGGAGACTGCAGAGGTCCAGGCCCATTGTCACAGCTGAGAATGGACAGAACAGAGTTGATAAGGAATCTGGAATCCAGGCAGCAGAATGTGGTTTGTTAGGGGAGAGTAAGACTCAAACCTGTGTTCTCAGCCTTTCACCCGCTGTGTTGCATCCCCACCTTCATTTTAATACCCTGAGACACTGCAGGGTCTTGGGAGGTGGGCTTCGGGACTCCTCACATGAGAATCCAAGGCTCCCTGGTCCCTTTGTATAAAGCAACATAGATTTTGCGTATCCTCTGCACACATCCTCCATGTGCATCAGCTAGACAACAGCCACACAGATAAAGGCCGCTGTTGCTTAGGGAATGGTAAGTCAGCCCTTAGCTGGTTAAGTCCACAGATGGGGAGCCTGCAGGCACTTGGGGCTAATTGGGTATCTGTTCTTGTCTAAATATTGTTGCTTCGTACATAAGAGGAAATTTTTCACCCCCTTGGACGGGGTGGGTGGTGGTGGTGGTGTGGCTTGGAGAGGAGCTGCCAGGTCATTCCACAGGGGCCAGGAGTCCCAGAATGCTGCCACATCCTCCTAAGAGCACAGCGGGGCATGAAGAGGAGCACACTTCCCCTTCCCAAGAGGAGAGGGGATCCGATTGACAGCCACCCATGGCCAGTTTCTAGGGACCTGTTTGATGTAGGCCCCTTTGAGTCCCATATGTACGTACAAGTGTGATCAAACTACTGCATGTTTAAGTAAAGAGACACTTCCATGAGTCCGCCTCAAAATCTCCCTCATTTCCGACACCCTCGTCCCATTGTTCCTGCCGTTTTCTGAAGTCATTCCGGGCTTGTGAAAATGGCAGTGTGTCCCCATCTACCTTACTCACCAGGTCTGGCACCATGGGACCCAGCCTCTTCCCCAGTGTCAAAGTGACCATGAAAGGCACACATTTTTAATCAGTTCAGGGCCGTCACACAAGAGGACTACTTCAGAAAGTCACAAGAGGGATGGAATGAGTGTGTTTGAAATGGGAGGGTATTTTCAGGGGTTAATGCCAGTGTGTCTTACTATAATTTGAAAATTTGGACATTCGCTGTATTTTTTGATAATGCTTCCTCGGAACAGGTGCTGTAATTTCCTTACTCTGCTTTCTTCCCAGACGCACACCGGCTGCACCATGTCAGCAGCCTGGCCTGGCTGGACAGACATACGTTGGTCACGACCTCCCACGACGCCTCTGTCAAGGAGTGGACAATCACCTACTGAGGACGCCCCAGGGACGGATTCAGGGACTAGACGGAACTGCCGCGGAACATAAATCTCTAATCGTCTCTGTAATGCGCCCCTCCCCACCCCAGAGGGAGGAGGGCCCGGGGCACCCTCACCTCTCTGCAGGGTGCTCATGCCTGTACGCGTCCTTCTGAAAGCTTTAGACAGTAACAGTTTGCACATGAAAAATAAAGCGAGCACTTAAACAATGTGTGGAGCGTAACTAAAACCCACAGCCCAGCCAGACCTTGAGAACAAGGAACATTCCAGAGGCCTCAGCCTCCAAAGCACAGAGCCCCGGCCCCCCACCCCACCCCAGACGGCTGCTCTCGGGAGCCTGGGAAGGGAGGGAGCCACAGGTACCCCTTTGCTAGACAGGAAGTCCCTGCTCCAGAAGGGGGCAGCGCAGCAGCTGGGCCCGAGTGGTGTGCAGAGCCGGTGTCAGTGAGCCCTGTCCAGGGGCTGCTCCAGGGCCGCCCCAGCTCTTGCAGGGAACGGTCAACCCTGGACGTTCCATTGTCAGATTTTGTGCTTGGTTTTAAGAACGGAGTCGTAGGATTTTTTTTTTCTTTTCTTTTTAATGTACCTTTAACTGTTGCGTGTCTATGTTCCCGAGCTGGCAGTATGTCCGGGTGTCCAGAGCCCTGCCACCAGATCAAGGTGTCCTGGTCACCATCATCGTGCTTTGACGTTTTTCTGTCTGCCCCTAAGAGCAAAGATGCAGTCACTGTAATCTAATCTGTCATTGTTTTTACCTGCGTTTTCTTTTTCAGTGCAGAAATTAAAAGTATAAAGCACCGTGATTTGGAGTTTTTTTGCGTGGTCGGAATCACTGGTAAATGTTGGCTGAGAACAATCCCGCCCCCTTGCACTTGTGAAAACACTTTGAGCGCTTTAAGAGATTAGATTGAGAAATAATTAAATATCTTTTCTCTTCATTGTGGATCGCTGGCTTTGTGTGGTGGGGCACGTGGGGGGTGTGGGGGCACCGTCCCGGCTTTAGGTCTCCATCCTGGAGCCCAGGAGGGCACGTTGTATGGACAGAGCCCCAGAGAAAGTCCAGCCTCCAGACCCTACTCGTCCCTGCTGCCAGACCACCCCTTCCGTGGGGCCTCAGCTTCTCCACCATAAATACGGGACCAGATGACTAGCTCCTATCTGATTCTCAGTTCTTAAAAGACTGACCTTCCTGTTACTGCCTTCAAGGAAGGAGTAACATTTATGTGCTGAAAAGCAAACTCCCAACTGCAAAGTGAAAGGCGCTGCTTCTGGGTGGGAAGAACAGGGCAAGGTTGCACTCCCAGTAGGGTCATCTTTCCCCTTCTAAGGGCCTAATCACACTGGCTTTTACAGTTCTGTGCCAAAGGGCTACAGAATGAGGGGAAGAAAATAAAGAGCTGAAGCTGGGGCTGCCACAGAGCAAAGTGCCGAAGTACTTGGGCTTGGACAGCCGCTTTTCGCATCAGTGGGCAAACCGCAGGCTCAAAAGTGGTGTGGGTAAAACAGCAGCGTTTTGTGCTGTCCTTATACCAGGCTAGCTTTTGATTGTTACCAAATGGAACCATGCAAGAAGAAACAGGATAATCATGGCAACAGTGGTGTTTTTAAGAATGATAAAGAACTAGACATTTGAGTGCATAAATATTTTCAATCTGCATTGAAGGAGGAAAAACATTCACAAAGTCAGAAAATACAACAAATAGCACAGAGAGCCTACCAGACCAAAGGATGTACTCACATGTCCTAGTTTTTTAAACACCGAATTCTTGTGGAAACTATCATAGTTTTCAAAATATATGATTAAAACCTAAGCATAATGTGTATAGAGTGACCCCATTTACGGGAAATAACCACCAGCTGATGATTTTAAAACAGCTTTGAGGGAGGTGGAGAAGGTCCGCAGGGAGGGAGCAGTCTCCTTTCTTCACTCAACCAAATGGGGCTTTGAAAGAAGCACCTACGTGAAATCAGACACCAGCTTACATATCACATGGTTTCTCCGCTGAGAAATTATAAAGAGCGAAATGAAAGATGAGGTAGATGTTTCTCAAATGGGAAAGGAACTGAGGGAGGGAGAGGAGAGAGGATGAAAACGGAAGTAGGATATATACATGTACCAAGTCCACAGCGTAAACACTGCCGTGCACTAACAAGGGCTTTACACCCAAGGTCCAGCCATTTCCGGGAGGGAGGTATTTGTGCACAGAGCTAAACTTCAGAAGAAAACTAGAGAGCGAGAAGCCACCTCTTCATCTTTGGGGAGAGGGCTGTGGGCAGCTGTTTGCTCATTACCTGGAATCTCGTGCCTCCGTGCCACGTGCCACGGCGGGCACTGGGGAGGGCAGTGGAAGGGGACCCGCTGTTCAGCGCCACTGAAGGCAGAGGTGACCCTGCCCTCAGCCCGGTCCTCTTGCAGAGCAGGGTGGGGTCCCAGGCAACCGCTGGCCACCCAGTGTGTGTGAGGGGTGAGTCACTGGAGAAAAGGGAAGGAGGTCCCCTGGAGACCTGGGTCCCACCTTGGGGGAAGCGGCGTAGTGGGCAGACAGCTGGGGCGACTCGGGGTCTTGGCTTCTCTTCCCAGCCCTGACACAGACCGCTTGGGAAGACAGAATCCCGTCAGGACTACCAACCGCTGTGAGCCTCTGGGGCTTCAAACAGATGGGGTCTCGGGTTTAGCCTCGGGAAATGTGCCTGTCGACAGTCCAGTGCATCCTGTGCTCCTGAGAGCTGGGAGCCCTTCGTGCTGTAGACGGCCACGACGCACTGCTGCTCTTGATTCCCCTGAAAATGATGAAGACCCTGAGAGTTTATGATTATGAACAGGTGCACTGTACCAGAAGTGGAAAACCAAGCCAAAAAAATTTTTTAAATACTAATGTATTTTTTGTTTCAACATGGACTAAAGGGCATGTAAGTTAAAGGCCTGTAACTTTACTGAGTAAAGAGAGGATTTAAATGACAAAACTTTAAATACTATACTAGTGTATAATTGTTTTAAATAAAAAATAACATTTGTTATCATAGCACACTTTGATGAAAACTATTTTCCAAAACAAACAAACATAAAATAGAAAAGGGGCATCATTTTACATTTTGGAAAATAATCTCAGATGACTGGCTTCTCCTGTCTCCGATACATTGTTTTGTTTGAGGTAAATGAAGAAAATCTTGGTTTACACACTTATGCAGTTGGAAATAGGACGAGTATTTGAAATCATTTCAGAATTGTGGAATCCATCTTTAACAATATACCAGAACTCAACTAGTGGAAACTTATAACAGGTAAATTGCAGTGTGGAATCTGAGACCTGTGAAGGGACTTGGGGTACTCAGGTTAGGCTAAAATCTTCTTTGGATACATCTATTATCCATGCACAAGTTTGTAACATTCTCTGGTTATTTATTTAGGTACCGGGAATCAAACTCAGGACCTAGAGCTTGCAGGGCAGGCACCACTTAGCTAAATCCCCAGCCCTCTCTGATTATTTCTAACATAATGGTTCCCTAAGTCAGGCAGATTTCAAAGTCACATTTCTTCAGATCACATTGCACAAGCGATGTCCTTAACTGTGGGGAAGCCAGCACAGTTACAAAGGAAGATTCCCGGTCTTTTGAGTCTGTCTGTCCTGCCAGGCTGCCTTTCTGCACTCCCTTCGGCCTCTTGGTTCCTCCCTCCGGAGGGAAGAAGAAAGTGTGGAGGAGGCCCAGGGGCAGGTGCCCTTTGGGGGGTGGGCACACACCCTTTTCCTGGGGATCCCTTCACCGCCTGAACACACTTACCTGGGCAGCTGCAGGAGCAGTGGAAACACCCATCCAAGGCTCTGATATTCTAAAGACAGAAAGTGACCTCCACACAGGCCAAGTTCTAACGAACCCACAACAGTCCTTCACTTGACCAAGCCTGAGCTGCTTTGGGGCGAATCTGGGAGTCTGAGTTTAGTTGATGCCTCTGTTAACAGAACCCTTAGCTTGCAAGGTGAAGTTTTTAAAAGTCTCATCATTTGCAAGAGTTCATCGGCGTGAGCCATGCTTTTCTCAGTCCGTGGCAGCTAAAGCAAAACGCAGAAATGTGTGACTGCTGGAACTGACATGAAATTGCTCTGACAGAAAACCGCAAATTACGAAGATACAAGCATGCTATTAAATCGCAAACACTTGTGTAAGTAGGGAGGGTTCAATTTAAACTTGGGTCTTTCAAGTTGTACACCATTTACACGGATTACATGCTTCAACTTACAGCATCCTACTTTTAAATAAAATACCTTGCTTCACATTTTAAAATCGGGATTCCGGGTAAGGATTCATATATGAAAATAGCTTTATGGAAAAAGTTTGGCAACTGTTGTATTTGACCATCTTTTAAAAGCCATGGCTTCTTATCATAGAATTTTGTAAATGTGCATGTACAAATCTGCCAAAGTCAAACCCATGGATCGGTATAACTGATAAAAAGTAAGTGAAAAAAAAAACCACAATTGCGAGTGCTAATTTTAAATTGTTAAAAAAAAAAGAACTGAAAAAAATTCAAATTTGCCCATGAGTACTTAGTCCCAGAAACATACTAATTTTTAACCGCTAAAGATCTTTTTTTTTAGTCAAAGGGGGAAAAATTCCCAAGAAAAAACAAAACCCATCGCACCGAAGAGCAGTTCAGTTGTGACTACTGTAGTTTTAAGTATTCCTTTATTTACAAATCAGAACGTAGCTTAATGGTAGAACACTCACCTACAAGGCCCTGGGCTTGCTCTCCAGCACTGCAAAAAAATAAACAAAATAAAAATATTTGATGTGATGTGCAGGAATGAATGTTGGCTACAAGTTCCAGATACTTCGCCACTTTCCAGCGGAGCAGCCCCTGCCTCTGACAGATCCCCTCCCGCCCGGCTCTCAGTTCATTCACTGTGTTTTTCGGTGATTTTGCTGTTCCTGAGTATGTCCAGTACTTCATTAAGACAGGAAAGCGGGACTGAGAAGGGTATTTGCTACCACGCCCTAGAGGCCAAGGAAAGAATATGGGGGGCGGCG